AAGGTGAACAATTTCTGGAGCTCACATAGAACCAGGAACAGTCCCTGTTTTCACCAACCAGAGTGGAAAAGCCGTGTAATTCATGAGGCATTAGTAGTGAAGCAAAATCAGCCTTAGAACAAAAGCTGCTCTGATCCCACCTGACAGAGTTTAAAAGCAAGCCTCAAAGTGATCAAATTCTTTCCAAGTAATTTTACTAAACCTCCACAATGAACTCAAGAATATGTGTAAGAATGAAAAATATCCAGCACCCACAACATCTGGAGCTAATAAAAAATTACCAAGCATTAAAAGGAACAGGAAAATATAACCCATAATAAGGAGATGCAGCAATGAGACACATAGAATTAGTAGATGAAGACATAAAACTGTCATTATAATTATAGTCTATATATTTAATAAAGTAGAGAAAATATTGAGCATGTAAAGTAGAGATATAAAATATATTTTTTAAATACCCAAATGAACTACAGATAAAAATTACAACATCTGGACAGCAAGAACAGCGTATTAGACATTGCAAAAGGAAAGATTAATGAACTTGAAGAAATCGCAGTAGCAATTACCCAAAATGAAACACACAAGAAAAAAGACTGGGAAAAAAAAACCCAGAGCGTCAGTGATCAGTGGGATAACTTCCAACAGCCTAAAAATATGCAATTAGAGGTCCCAGAGAGGAGAAAAGAGGAGAGGGGTGGGGCCCCAAAATAATTGAAGAAATAGTGGCTGAAATTTTTCCAAATTTTATCAAAATTATTAAACCATAGATGAAAGAAGTTCCATGAACAAGCAGAAAACCAGGCATATTATCATAATCAAATTGCTTAAAACCAATGATAAAGATAAAATATTATGTGCAGCCAGAAGAGGAAAGAAAAAAATACAGCTGACTTTATGATGGTAACAATGGAAGCCAGAAGACAATGGAGCAATATTTCTAACAACACCACCCCAAACCTGTCACCTCATAATTTTATATGCAGAAAAATATTTTTCAATATTCTGAAAAGCTGAAGGAATTTATTAGCTACAGACCTGTACTTTAGGAAGTAGTAAAGAAAGTCCAGCAGGCAGAAGGGAAATTATAACAGATGGAAATCTGGATCTATACAAAAGAATGAAGAGCACTGAAATGGTAAATATTCAGGTAAACAAACCTGTCACCTCATAATTTTATATGCAGAAAAATATTTTTCAATATTCTGAAAAGCTGAAGGAATTTATTAGCTACAGACCTGTACTTTAGGAAGTAGTAAAGAAAGTCCAGCAGGCAGAAGGGAAATTTTAACAGATGGAAATCTGGATCTATACAAAGGAATGAAGAGCACTGAAATGGTAAATATTCAGGTATGAAAGTTTTTCCTATTTTTAACAATCTTTTTAAAAGGTCATTGACAATTTTAATGCAAAAATAATAACAATATATTGTGGGGCTCATAACATATGTCAAAGTTATAAATGACAAACTGTCATACAAGATAAAGGGTGGAATAGTAATTACTTTTGTGGGAACGGAGGAGTTGAGATGGTGATGGGGCAGACTTCTGGTGTTGTTGGCAAAGTTCTATTTCTTTTTATGGATACTGAAATGTTGAACCTGTGACAACTGATATTAAGCCATACATTTGTGTCATTTTCTATATGTAAGTATTATGTTCTAACATAAAGTTTTTAAAAAATATATAAAATGATTTTTTGTGTGTGAACTACATAGAAATGCTTAGAATAAAGGCAGGAAAGATGGAAAACAAAGTGTTAACAGGGGTTATTTTATGGATGTTGAGATTAAGAATGATGTCTACTTTTCTATTTTTTCCAAAATACCTACAATGAATATTATTTACTTCTGTAATTAGGAAATAAATAAACAAAACCAATAAATACTTAAAATAGAACTACTTTATCCACAAATTGTATATATGGTCCTCGGAAGCAAAATTCATACCAGGACTCATTTCACTATCCTTACTTCTTTAATTTGATTATGTTACTCTTGCCCAATCCTATCTCAATTGATTTGTGGTATATGCTAACAACCAGAATCTAGTAAAGAGCAGGCATTTAAAAATTTGTATGTACAGATCTGAATTAAAGACAGCTAAAATCACATTTTTATGAGTCCATTGTTCTAATTAATAATAATATTTCCCTGAGAGCTGGAGGATAAGGAACAGTTATCCCAAAGCCAGGGATGATAATCGGCTATGCTGGAGGTTTCTCTGGAGGCTCTGGCATTGTCCAAAAGATTTTGCGATCATTTTGTAAACAGGGAGACTGAGGTATTGCATTTACGAATTCTGTAGAAAGACCCGTGTTTTCAGTACTCTCAACAGAAATATCAAGTGCCTCTAAATTTCATCTGACACAAACCTTATGCCTGAATTAGCAGTACTGAAGAGAAATTTTCATTCAAAAGGCTAATCAGCTCTCCGTTCTGTTTCTGTAAATATGCTTGCTGCTCGGACTGTACTCGAAATTGACTAAAGACTCATCATCCCTTTTGTTTGATCTGTCTAAGCTGTTTGTAACCTCTAGCAACTCCCAAACTTTGTAACACTTTGTAACTACCTGCAACCATAGCAACTCCAGCCACTTTGTAGCAGCCTGAGCTAAAATTACCCAATCAAGCCGTGCCAAAAAGGATCTGTATAAGGAATGTTGCAACTGAGCTCCAGGCCCAGATCTTCAGAGCACTAGCTCCTCTGGGACCGCCGGCATAATAAACCTGAGTTCTCCAACTCTCCGGGTGCTGCTTGGTTTCTCACCAGTCTGATTTTGGATCTTTTCTGTAACATTTCTGGAGGCCCCAGCGAGATTCCAACCATGCCGGCCCTTTGAGCTGCTGGACTGGTGGCTTGGCTGGCCGGGGTGGAGGGGCTCTGAGACGAACGAGGAGTCACGCCATTTGATGAGTATATTCTGGGTTCTCTTTCGGACCAGTGCCAAGACTCCCAGGATGGCTGAGCCCCCAACTGCACTCATAGAAGGGATGGATCAACTCACCAGGAATGGCCACAGGATAAGGTAAGGTCCTGGGATCAGCCCTCCTAGTCAGTTCCCATCTCTGGACGGAAGAGGAGCTTGATCACCTCCTAAAGTCTTCAGTTAGAAGATACAGGTCAGGGTCTTCCCAGCAGAGGAAGACATCAGGGTCGTCCTAGGGAGGGAAGACAAAGGTCAGGGCCTTCCAAAAATGGAGGAGGCAATGCTTTAACCCGGTGTGTAAATGAATGAGTGAATGAGTGACCTGTCCTTTGGGAAACTGCCAGATGAGCATCTGAATGGTCTCCTCTTTGGAGAGGGCACCCACTCTTGTTTGCCTCTACGTCACTGTCACAGGGTAGAATGTGTTTGGTTAACACTGGGCAAAGGGAGGCCCAGCCACCCTCCAGAGAGTAACCAAGTGTCCTCCACAGGTTAAGAGGAGCGGCTGCTTACTCTCCACAGGACAGGTTAAGGAATGGTGGGAAGTTGCATGAAAGAGAGTGAGTGCTGAATGACTGAGGCGTGGCCTTGCCACGAAGAGAGAGTTGGGCCCCAAACCGCAGTTCCGTGGTGATCTTCATATTGCTTAAGATGGTGTCACTGGATCTCCATGAGGAGTCTACTCCAGTGATCTGGGTCAGGGGTTTATACTGACCTACCAATGCTAAGAGGTGCCTAGAAAATCCTCACAAGGGGTGTGGCCGGAGATGGGCGAAACTAGTGATGTCTCCTCCAAAGCTTCGCCCACCCTATCCACCAACTCTCCATGTGGAGTGATTGTTGTCTGTCGTGGGAGGCATGGGGGGAGGTTCCTCTAAGCCAACTGTCTTAAATTGTATGTTGAAAATTTTTAAGAAACGTTTCTCAGAGGATTACGGGGTCAAGCTGACCCCGAGAAAGCTTAGTATTCTTTGTGAGCTTAAATGGCCCACATTCAGGGTGGGATGGCCCTCAGAAGGGACCCCTAGAACGCCCACTGTGAGAACTGTGTACTGGGTAGTGACAGGGCCCCCTGGACATCCAGACCAGTTTCTGTACATAGATTCATGATTGCAAATTGCCACTATAGTGCCCCCTTGGGTCCAGTTCTGTGCAAATAGGCAGGGACAGAGTAAGGTACTTGTGGCCCAACTGACTCAGGGAAAGAACAAGGAGGAGCCAACAAAAATAATCCACTAAGAGGATCCCGAAGAAGAACCTATCTTCCCCACCGCCATACATCCCAGCAGCTCCACCAGTCCCCACACAGCCACTCTGCCCACAATTGCCGGACAGCCCTCCACCATTGGTGCCTTCAGAGCTCCAACAACCTGAGTGACCACCAAGCCCGAACCCAGGCACCTTCGCCCGGCCACGCAACCAGCTCAGCAATTTGTGGCCCTTCAGATGCCCCTCCGAGAGGCACGAGGTCCCTTTGAGATTGGAGAGGATGGCACACTCCAGCAAGGCCACCCTGTCCTCTACTATCAGCCATTCAGCACAACCGACCTCCTCAACTGGAAGCAGCACACCCCACCCTATTCGGAGAAACCCCAGGCGATGATTGACCTGCTCGAGTCCATCTTCCAAACTCATTAGCCTACCTGAGATGACTGCCATCAACTCCTTCTAACCCTCTTCGACACCGAAAAATGACGCCGGATTCTGTCAGAAGCATGAAGATGGCTTCAAGGACAAGCACCGGATGGTGCACTGGACCTTGTAGCATGGGCCTCAGAGGCTGCACCAGATGCCAGGCCCAATTGAGACTTCAACGTCCCACACAGAAGAGAGTCTCTCGACAGGTACTGGCAGGCCATACTGCAAGGGGTAAAAGCTGGGGCTAGGAAGCCAACAAACATGTCAAAAATGGCAGAGGTACTCCAGAAGCCAGATAAGTTGCCCAGAGTTCTATGAGAGACCATGGAGGCGTTCCAAGTATACATCCTTTTTGACCCTGACGCACGAGAGAACCAGAGCATGGTCAATGCAGCATTTGTGGCACCATCCTTCACTGACATCAGCCGCAAGCTTCAAAAATTAGAGGGCTTTCCTGGGATGAACGCCACCCAGCTACTGGAGGTCGCAAACAAGGTGTTCGTAAACCGTGACCAGGAGGCCCAAAAGGTAGCTGACAAATGGATGAAACAGAAGATGTCCCTGCTGGCAGCTGCATTAGGGAACCTGGGTCCAGTACAATACACTGCTGCTCCCCCATGGAAGAGAGAAACCAAAAGGAGACCCCCACTTCGCTGCAACCAATGCACCTACTGCAAAGAAACTAACCATTGGACAAATGAGTGCCCTCATTGTAGAAAAACGCCTGAAAGGCTGAAGAAGTTCAGTCAACCCCATAAAGGAAAGTACCAGCCTGAGCCAGTCGTCCTTGAAGGCCAGGCTGAAAAAACAATCAGACTAGGAACGACCGGGATCCCTGATCCTAGGCCCCCAGGAGCCTACTGTCACAATAGACGTAGGGGGCTGATTAGTGACTTTTATGGTGGACACTGGGGCTGAACACTCTGTGATAACCACGCTTGTGGCTCCCCTGATGGATCAAACAGCAACTATCGTTGGGGCCACAGGGGACCAAGTCGCCCACTCATTCTGTAAAGCCTGCTCATGTCAGTTAGGGGGCCACCTAGTGACTCATGAGTTCTTGTACCTACCAGACAGCCCCATTCCCCTTTTGGGTAGAGATTTATTAACAAAGCTTAGAGCACAAATCACCCTAGGGAAGCCCACCAGTCTTACACTGAGGAGCCAGCCTACTCTAATGATGTCCGTGACTGTGTCCAGGGAGGATGAATGGGGTCTTTATTCTCCGGGAGGGAAACAAATAAATCCAACCAGTCTGCTAGAAGAGTTCCCTGCTGTCTGGGCAGAAAAGGGGGACCCAGGTCTAGCCAAAAATCACACATCCATTGTGGGAGACCTAAGACCAGGAGCCTCTCCTGTCACACAAAGGCAATATCCAGTGCTGCGGGAAGCAGGTCTAGGAATTCGGGACCACATACAGCGTTCACGTGATACCGGAATCCTAGTTGAGTGTCAGTCACCTCGGAACACTCCGCTCTTGCTGGTCAAGAAACCTGGAAGAAATGACTACCGCCCCGTGCAGGACCTCTGCGCCATCAACATTGCAGTGGTCACCATCCATCCGGTAGTCACGAACCTGTACACCTTCCTGAGTCTCTTACCTGCTCAGGCAAGCTGGTTCACATGCCTCAACCTTAAAGATGCCTTCTTCAGTCTCCGGTTATTACCAGCCGGCCAGCCTTTGTTCGTCTTTGAGTGGGAAGACCCACACACAGGGAGAAAAATGCAACTGACCTGGACTCGACTGCCTCAGGGCTTCAAGAACTCAACTACCTTATTTGGCGAAGTGCTGGCTGCAGATCTGGCTGCCTTCCCTGGAGAGACTTTGAACTGCACTTTACTCCAGTATGTAGATGACCCATTGCTGGCTAGCCCCACCCAAGAAGACTGTTAGAAAGGTACTAGAGCCTTACCGGCCCTACTCTCTACCAGGAGATACAAGGTGTCATGGAAGAAGGCTCAAATCTGCAAACAGGAGGTCAGATACCTTGGGTTCATCATCTCAGAAAGACGTTGGGCACTTGAACATGAAAGGAAACTGGCCATCTGCTCCATACCTCAGCCAAACACCAAGCAAGGTGTCTGTGAATTTCTAGGGGCTGCCACACCAAGCAAGGTGTCTGTGAATTTCTAGGGGCTGCTGGATTCTCTCGGATCTGAATACCAGGTTTCTCTGAGATTGCCAAGCCACTGTATGAGGCCACAGCTGGGTCTGGTAGAGACCCCCTAGCATAGGGCGCTAAACAAGAAAAAGCTTTCAGAGAAATAAAGAGACTCTTAACCAGTGCCCCAGCATTAGGACTACCGGATGTGACATGGTACTTTAACCTCTTCATACATGAGAAGAATCACACTGCACTAGGGGTCCTCACACAAACGGTCAGGCCATGACAATGCCCAATTGCATATTTGTCCAAACAGCTAGATCTGGTGGCTGCGGGATGGACACCGTGTCTCTGGGACTTAGCTGCCATGGTAATCCTGGTCAGAGAAACAGACAAGCTTACGCTGGGACAAAATATAAATGTAAAGGTCCCCCATGCTGTAACTGCTTTAATGAATAATCAAGGACATAAGTGGCTGACCAATGCCAGAATAATTCATTATCAGGGACTGCTTTGCGAAAATCCATGAGTCTGTACGTACTGTACGTACATTGAAACTGTACGTACATTAAAACCGTACGTGCATTGAACCCTGCCACATATCTGCCCACTGAAGAGGGGCCTCCTGACCATGATTGTGAGAAGGTCACAGATGAAGTTTACTCAAGCAGGCCAGATCTGACAGATGTTCCTCTTCAGGACACAGAACTGGTATTGTTCACAGATGGGAGCAGCTTCATCCATGAAGGACAGTGCAAAGCCAGCTACACAATAACAACTACCGATGAAGAAATCAGAGCTGAGGCTCTTCCACTGGGCTGGTCGTCCCAGTGGGCTGAACTATGGGCACTGATCCGGGCACTGCGACAAGCTGAAGGAAAATGGGCCAATATCTACACCAACTCAAGGTATGCCTTTGCTACCTTGCACATACATGGGGCCATTTATAAAGAGAAGGGATTACTGACAGCTAGAGGAAAAGAAGTCAAGAACAAAAAAGAAATCCTCCAACCATTAGAGGCAGTTTGGAAGCCTTTTAAAGTGGCAGTCATTCACCGCAAGGGCCACCAGAGAAGAGCCGACTCTGTCAGTAGGTGAAACCAACTAGCAGACCAAGCAGCTAAGGAGGCTGCTCACCAACCGAGTGCCACGACAGGTCCTAAGCCAATCTCCAAGGTTCTCCTGGAGCATTGCCTCTATCCCCAAAATACAGTAAGGAAGAAGAACAATGGGCTTCAAGTGAAGGAGGAACCAGGAGGAAGAAGGGCTGGTGGGAGCTTCCAGATTGGAGACTCTTTATTCCCGCTGCATTGGCAGTTCAGCTAGTGAAACGACACCATGAATTAACTCACCTAGGGAAGACTTCTTGAGAAAGCCTGTTAGGCCGCTATTATTTCATACCCAAACTCCCAATCCTCTTCACCCAGATCAGTGCTAGGTGTGTGACTTGTGCATGAAACAACACTGGCCAAAGACCGAGGTCTAATCCAAGGGTGCGGACAATTGGAACTATGCCATTCAAAGACCCAGAAGTGGACTTTACTGAGGTCAAGCCCTGCAGGGGCCACTGATACTTGCTTGTATTGGTTTGCACCTACTTCGGATGAGTTGAAGTTTTTCCTATACACACTGAACAGGCACGAGAAGTAGCTAGAGCCTTATTAAGAGAAATCGTTCCAAGATATGGGCTACCCCTTTCTATAGGATCAGACAATGGACCTGCCTTTGTGTCTGAGACAGTTCGGACCTTGTCCAAAGCTATAGGAATCAAATGGAAGCTCCAAACGGCCTACAGGCAGCAGAGTTCAGGGAAAGTTGAACGTATGAACCGGACCCTCAAAAGCACACTAGCTAAGCTTTGTCAGGAAACCCAGTTATCTTGGATTGATTTGTTGCCTTTGACTCTACTCCAAACGCGATGCATCCCAAGGCCTTCAGGCTACTCCCCTTTTGAAATACTTTACGGGAGACCTCCTCCCGCGATAAGGAAGTTAAAAGGAGACCCTCGATTAATGGCTGACCTACAAGTGTCCCAACACCTTCAGGCCTTGGGGAAGATCCTCCGCCATATCGCTCGGGAAACTTTAGAAAGGGCCCCTATCCCTTTAGGTAATTGGGTCCACTCCTTTCAGCCCGGAGATGAAGCATGGGTTAAATTCTGGAAGAAGGAGCCGCTCCAGCCAAGCTGGACAGGCCCTCACACTGTTGTATTAGCAACTCCCACTGCTATTAAAGTTACAGATATCACCCGGTGGATCTACCACACCCGGATAAAGAGAGCAGCAGCATCTCCGGAAAACCGGGAGACTTGGACTGCAGAGCCTCTTTCTGATCAGTCGCTCTGAATCATGTTCCAGAGGCAGCAGAAATCCACCTGAGATCTCCGGCCCTGCTCTGGCCACCCCCAGAAGTTGGCCAGTCTACACATGGCAGAAGCTTGAGGATCAACCATCCAGACTGTCCAGATGTTCACCACAGTCAGCTGAAAACAGCAGCTCCTGCAGAAACCCCTTCATGGATGGCACAGACGAATCCCACCAACCCTCGTAAGCTGACCCTGAGAAAGACAGCATGCCCTGTTCCAGCCAGCAACCGGAAGCTGGCTGGTCCATGCAGGGCCAAAGCCTGAGGAATCTCATCGTGGGGCTCCTTATAATTGGACCTTGGGGATTGAGGGAAATTAGAGCAGAGAACTGTGAACTGTGTACTCATGTCACCAAAGAAGTTCAAAGAATTTCCACTACTTTACTTTTCTATAGCTACTATGAATGCCAGGGAACTCAGAAAGGGACCTGTACCTATAACCAGTCTCAATATCCAGTATGTGATCCAGGAAATAACCAACCTTATGTACGTTATAGCCCAAATGACCCTCCCACTGAAACAGTTTTTGAA